CCGGCATGTGAAATCACGAAATATCTTTAGCAGATTCGCAAAACATGCGACGTGATTTACTACAGACGTGTAAATGCAATTATCGATATCCGTTCTTCGTCCTCAATTTTTCTTCGTTTCTTCCTCAAGTCAGTTTCCATGACGGCATAAAAGCTCTTCCATGCTTCTACGTTCCTTCTTCAGTCTTTCGAACGGTCTTGTTGCAAAACAATTCTCAAAAGTACCGACTGCTTTGGCCTTATATCTCCTGGGAGGTCAAGTGCCAGCTATTTTCATAGTACCACGTTTAACAGTGGGATTTTTAGAATTCTAAAAAAAAAAACGCAATTAGCCATAAGGAGGATATGATTAGGCTGACATTTCATAACGTCAGGACAAACATGTCATTTTACCCGAAGGGACAAAAGATAAGGAAGGAACTTTCACGTAGACCTCCTGGGCACTGCGTATTGTCTGTCTCCAATAGTGCAGAATTCCTTGTCGAGGGGACACTGTGTCTTAAGAAGTGATTAGAAAGTAGAACGAATGGCAAGTGATAAGTAGCACATTACTATAGCAAGTTTCAGACTCAAAGTATAACGTGACAAAGAGTTGCGCGGTGGGGCATGGTGAGGCAGGAGTAAAGTTCTACCCTTTTGCAGACAACGAAGAGAGGCGTCGATTGAACGGAAATCCGGAATTAAAGATTAAAATTAATGTCAAGAAGGAGCATCGTCGTTGCAGGTACAGGAGCGATTACGAAGGTTCGTCTCGGTGTTGTACACTGGTTGTTGAAACCGATGAGTGTGGGCCGGTCCAGGAACAAGATCAGTCCTTGTGGAGCGATCGGCCATTGTACTTTGGTGCGCCCTATCTGGAATCTCATACCCAGGATGAATCCTGTGCGTGTGTCCTAATGTCCCAATGTCCCATCCTCAGGATTATTGGTTCCCTGATGCAAGAGACACGGTGACTGCGAGAACGGAGAGGGAATTCCTCCTGGAGTTACGCGACGACTGTCGTTAAACCGTTATTTTTGGCCCCATAACCTTCAGGCCTAAAAACGTCAAAAATAAAGTATTTATAGATTTTGAAATCACTACCAAAACCTTCTCCGACTACGAAGCGATCAAAAGTCGTGCTGTGATATTTATTTTCTATCCATATCATGGCATACCTACCTGTCATGACTCAAGACTTGTACGGTTGAACTTGTAAATAAATAAAGCATGCGGAACTTACTTTCTGACATTAGCATTGAGCTCCGTTGAAAGCTTACTTGCTAGATCGATATGCTTTAATTTTGTAGAACTCGCGGTAAGGCCTTGAAGGAGCTTCTTTTTTTTTTCACGAAACCTTATGCAAGGTTTGCCAGGCGTCAATATATAGACAATGCCAGTAAGCCGAGTGTACTCTATTATAAGTATTGGCTGCTGAATATATGAAAACTATGTATGGCGCAAAACAATCAGGAAAAGTGTCTGGCAGAGCGTGAGCAAAACTTTCAATATAGCAAAGAACGGAGTCGACGAAAAAGTGAATCCTCAGCAAAGTAAAATTCACCTCTGTTACAATGAAATATTATGCTGTACAACTTGCGTGAATAATAATAATAATAATAATAATAATAATAATAATAAAGCGCTGGTGTATAAGGAATATAATTCGTTACCGTGAACCTCTGCGTAGTCACTGATCTGGATTACCTTATGGTAGCATGCTGCGTCGAACGCGACCAATCGGCAACAAGAGCCTCACCTCTTCCTGTTATCCGCTGTTGACCATGAATTCCTCTGGAGCTTTCGAAAACAGCACGTTGCATCATGTCCGGTGCCACGGACGCCTTGATGGCTCTGTACGTCAGTCTGTCGCAAAGAGTAGCAATTAATACAAAGTTCTTTAGAAACTTTAAACGCTGGCGAAAGTTCAGGGTAAACTGAATTATTGTATACCTGGGTAACAAGGCCAGCACAGATGCAAGCAGTACGGTTAGCCAATAGATGTGTCTACGAATGGCGACTAGAGCGACCCAATAGGAACCTGGTAGACCCATGCAATTTACACAGACTGTATTGTATATGAGACAGAATCCAAAGAAAATGCAAAGTGACGCCAGTATTGCGCCAGCGTGAATTATCATCTGAAAGAAATAAGATAATATCGCTATGATACTTCAGAAGATGATCTCAGCTTTGCTTCAGTATACCGTACGTTACTTACCCAAGATCTTGTTTCTAATGCAACATGAACCAGCATAACTATTATACAGGATGTTGTTATTGTAGTACCAAATTCCCAAATATCTACATCGGAGTCGTGATAGGCCTTTAAACATATAGATTAAATGATATTTGATCAATTAATGCTTTTACATTTATCAGACAACGTGTCGATCTACTCACGGCTTCGGTTATGAAAAATATAACGATGCTCTGATATAGGGCGTCGGCCATTGTTATCCAAAAGGAGTGAGGCTGATAAACCAGACCCAGCCGACCTCTTCTGTATAATTGAGGATTAGCTAGGAGCACCTGGTCCGAGGCTATCTGATCGTAAATGCCCAGAGCAAGTGGTGGCAGTGACGTGAAGAATAAATTGTACAGCATCAAGTAAATTTGGTCGATCATCACTGCTCCTGAGAAGCCGCAGTACAGCTGTACAAAGTGCAATTACAGTTGGATTATATTTATAAGATAATATTGCCTTATTAGCTCACTTCTTTATATGGTAATACTTGATGATCTGAATGACTGACCTGGAACCAGAATATAAGGAAGACGAAGGTCGCGTTCTTGTAGAAGAAATAAAGGATCATCCTCGAGAGACGATCGTAGCACCAATGGCCATGAAGTAGGAGGAGTCTGGTGAGCATGGGAAACCTGGCAATTGCGAAATCGGATGCCATGACAGCTTGCGTACCTTCGCGCCCTGAGACACCGACGCCGACGTCGGCTGTCTGGATCATACTGACATCGTTGGCACCGTCGCCGATGGCTAAAGTTCTCATGCCTAGCTGTTCCTTTACTATCCGGACTATGTATGCCTAGAAGACGAGATCCAGATAAGTGAGACAAGTTCAAATATATATCTCAAGATCAATCAATGCCTCAACAGGACGAGATGAATACCTTTTGCAGTGGAGTAGCACGACAAGCAAGCACACTGGCGCATCTTCGGGTCAAGTCGAGAAACGGTCCAGTTAGGCCTGATCTAGGATCCAAAATAAAGGTAAGCGTTTTCCCGTCCACCACTAAGGCCCTCTGCCTCCAGGAACCAATTCTGTGTGCTACATGTTCAGCCGAATCGGGATCAGCCAACGCATTTTCACCAGGATAGTCAACCATCCTGCTCGCAGTCTCTTGTTCAATGGCTTCCAGATAACCGTGGATCAGAGTCTCAGCGACTGTCTTGGACCTGGCCTGCAGCCTTAGTAGTTGCATGGCAGGGGAAAACAAGCGCGCAGAATACGCAATATTCACTGCAGTCTCCGGTTTGTCTCCTAGGGAAATGAAAAATCAGTCCAATCAATCAAAGACAATCATAGTGAACCACTGTACTGAGAAAAAGGTCCTTGCTTTACCAACCTGTCAAAACCCAAACGACGATTCCTGCAGCGATCAGAGCCGATATCGCTTCGGGTACTCCTGACTGAAGTTTGTCCTCAATTCCAGTGGCTCCTAAAAGAGTCAAGTGGGACTCGAGACTGGCGTATGAGTCTCGTATCCGACGTTCCCGACTATCCGTAGACAATTCGATCTCAACGTGTCTTTGCCTCCAAGTTTCATACTCCTGAAGAGTGAGAGACCGTCGCGCCATAGCCAGCGTACGCAGACCCTGTCTTGCGTAGGAGTGAAGCTGTTGTCTGATCTTGCTGATCATCATTGAATCTTCATCATTCGATGTCAATGATGCCAAAACGGTAGAATCAGCACCCTTGCTGTACAAGACTATTTCGCCCGTGTGAGGATGACGTACAACAATGGACATACATTTCCTACTGGAGTCAAACGGTAGTACCTGTAGGCATGATATATTGATATAATCTCCCTAGTTCCATTATAACTCTAAGCACAATTTTTACCACGAAACGTTGATAACTTACGTGAAGAATTTCAAAAGCTAGTGTCGACTTATCTGGCAGAGAGACAATAGCAGTGTTCGGGGTTCTTTTAACCAGCTTAACGTCGTAAGCTCGTGCGGCATGAACTAAGGCAAGCTCATCAGGACTCTCAGCTTCGTAAATCGATGGAGGTTCTGTTGACTGACCGTTACTCGAATTGAAATTGCGCGACTGCGTAGGTGACTGTTTTCTCGTAAGCAGAGACATGCCCAGGTTGGGGATAGACGGGACGTTAAGTAGTTTAGGCCTGCGATCACAGTGAGGTATCAGTAATCATTCGTCCAGAAACATAAAATGATATTTTTTTTTTTACTGACTCCACTAGCTACCTGGAAAGTTTACTAGCCACAGGACCTCGCAGATTCGTCGCGCAGGATGACGTTCTGTTCGTCGAGGACGCGACTGGCGAGAGCGGCGCAGCGGAATTCAATGTCGGCGGAGGACTTGGCGTTACGCTTCTGGATTCTGTTAACCTAACGTACCTAGTGATCAAACAAAATAGCGTCTAGTAGTGCTGGACTCTTTCATTTCCAAATGTTATCGAAGGACGATCACCTACCTAGCAGGACCGCCATTCTTCTGCGGTTCTTCGATAACTCCACTCGAGTTCATATTGTCGTGATGAGGATGTGCATTGACTACCACTGTATTGCATACTGCCAGAAGGACTAGAAACTCCTGAAGACGATGCCTATAGTTGCCTATCAATAAGTCTTCCTTCAATCTGGTATTAGCTATCAGGTTTTCACCCTCGCCAGTATGCGCATAATCCTGACCACTGATAGCGCACCTCCTGAATACCATTTTGTTTTCTGTAAGAGTACCTGTCTTATCCGAAAAGACGTACTGCACCTACGGAGAAGATCAGCAACAAAGACATTATCATTGACTTCGCGTCGTGGAGCAAGTCAAGAAAAAGTATAAATTTTGCAAGCGTACCTACCTGACCAAGTTCTTCGGTAATATTGAGTGCACGGCACTCGGCTCTCCGGCCGCTTTCTGAGTCATAAAGTGTCAGGTCATGTCCAATATGGTAGACTTGACCCACCTTAGCCATCTCAATGGTCACATAGAGACTAAGCGGTATCATCACTTGAAGGATGATGACGAAAGTCCAAAAGGTAAGCATACCCTCGTAGCTTGGATCCTGAGGTGTGGGAAGGAAGGGTACGGGTAACCCTGAGGTATACGTAGAGAGCCATAATCTGCAACCTGCTGCACCGACTATACACAATACCACCAGTATTACAACGCACCAAACCACATCCAGATTCATCTGTCGCTCTAGACGTGATCTCTGCAAATTAACAATATTACACGGTGACAAGGTACTGCTGATATAATTTAGCACAAGAATTTATTCAATCTGTACCTTGTATCTTGGTCCGCCATTGTTGAGCATAGCCTTGGTCTCATGACCAGCATAAACAACGATACCTTCAACAAAGTCTGTGTTCTTAAGCAAGCATTCTCTCAGCAAAAGGTTCTCCGTGGAAACAGGCACCCTGGCTCCACTAGGATGCACCACTGCACCATGAAACCTGAAGATGACAGAAAATCAGTGACAGAGTCCTCAGCACGTAATCAGGTTCAAAGATCCTGATAAAAAATGAACAAACCTATAGATCCTCGTACTCGGTTGATCGACCTCAACAACTGAGCGGAACTTCGAAGGTTGAAAGGTATCCTGAATATCCAGGAAGCCACGGACGACCTGGCGCTGCTTCAGGTTCGTCTCCCCGTCAAGATTGCAAGTATCCAGGTAGGCAAGACCCTGCGGATCGCTGCTTCTCAGTAGCAAAAGATCAGCCGGTACTAATTCATTGTTCGACAGATGAACCAGGTCGCCCACCTTGACGTCCTTCCAGGCCACCTTCTTGTACCTGTCACCCTCTCTGCAATCAGAAGCAAAACATTGATCGTCGATCCGTAACGCTACCAAAATAGACATCCTTTATCTTTGACCGATTCACGTAAGACAATAAACTCCAATAAACGAGTACCATTCGTACCATTGTTTACGAGCGTCATTTTACCGATATACATATATGCTCATGACCCAGACCCTATCACGTATTACGTGTTCTGACATCGTAATAGTAAACACGAAGTCACGCCACCAATAGACGTGTACATCAACGTTCAGATGCATCGTCCCTCGTTAGCCAACAGCCAACTATCGTGGCTAACAGCAACAATCTGCAGAGTAAATGGAACTGAGAAATATGGCTATCAAAGTCAAACGGATACACCACCGCATTGAATTAATTATGGAACTTCAATCAAGCCACATACATATCTGCCATGTTGTCCAGAAGGATGATGCATCTCTACAGCTAAGGCTCAACGTCGAAATCCAAGAGCGAATGGATCAGATCGTCCTTGGTATTAACATAATCAATGCGAATATGCTCGTTAAAATTTCAACAAGACTGTTATTGGCTGTATCGGTAAGATAGACGGAACAGTGCGGGTCTGTTACGAAAGTGAGCCGTTCACTTCGTAATGGGTGCGAAGTCAGTGGGACTTTTGAGAAATAATCCAACCGGCGGATAGAATCCGCCATTTCTCGTATAACGAGCTGGCGTTACCTGAAACTTTTACTCGAGCCATCAGGCTGTTGCAATTAACGTCAAACAAATTTTACGAAATGACTAAGAGGCAGCAAAGCGGAAAAGAAAGAAGTCGCGGCAGCGCGACAGTTGTCGTATCTCGGAAACTACGCGTATAGCCAACGGGGATAGCAAGTATGAAAATGACAGGGAAGAAACTTCCAGACAAAAGATCCCTGACCTTATGGGGAGAATGGCGAATTCAATTGAATCCAATGCACCCTCGTCTTTCTCATCGCTCTGTTAATGCCAGTGAACGTCGATTTACGTCATTAGAAAAAGGTATATTGCATAAAAGAAGTCCTACGGCTGCCCAAGCGTAACTAGAAGGAACCGTCTCACGTGCATGTACGTAATTTCGTAATGCGCCGCCAGCGGCGCTTTCGTCGTTCCTTAAACTGTCCGTTGTCGCTTGCCTTCTCTCTGTTTAATCTGCTTATGGCTTTTTCTCCGTCTCTTTATGTTTGTCTTAACACGATTCCACTTTTACGGTTCACTATGGACTCCCATATAACTTGCCCATCGACCATTCGAGATGCTTCTTTTTGTTTATTCTGCCGCGAACTAAGATCAAAGCCTACTTTATTTTTAGTGCTCACTATATTAAGTAGAGAAAAATACAAAAATAATGAAACTCAGCTGAGACGCGTAAAAGTTGAGTTGTAATAAGTCAACAGCCGGTACCAAGTTGTCGTTTACGTCTATAAATCCACACGAGTCAATTGTTCGAAAAGAAAAATCAACGCGGAATCAGCCAAGAGAAATATATTCAAATCGTCATCAGATCCTAAATAGGTAATTTTTAACTGAGTAAGCTGAGGTAGATTAAGGTAAATTGAATATATTAATTTAATTCACAGTGTCTCATTGTCCGACCAGCAAGTCATTACTAATCTAATGAATCGTAATGGAACAGCTGTTCGTCGTGTGGAATTTCAGGGAACGGAATCCCCGATTACAGCAACACGTCCATATAAAAATATAAAGTCTATTAATAATAAATAAGGACCGACTACTAGCCATATCGCGTCAACCCATTGCCAATGTTCTACATAAGAACTGCCTTTCTCGTTATTCTCTCGACTCGACACGAACAAAAGAGGATCGAAGTTATTTAAGTAATTTATCTCGGGGAGTCCGCCAAGTGACTATTGACAAGTGCTCAGGAATAGTGAAAATGGCGTCTCGAGTCCTTCCTACCGTTCTCACACTATTCGAAACCGCTGAATAGCTGTGAATGCCAATTAAACTTGCCGTTTCTAGCTCGTCATCATACTCGCGTGTGAACTCGGCTTAATTGTCAGTTCGTAGCTACCGGATGAGTCCAGAGTCACAACCAACCAGCCAATAACCAATATATGACGGCTGGTGGCATTATCAATTTCTCGTTTGATATCAACCTATAAGTAAATAAAATGGTCGCCTTTTCGTTTTCTGCTCTAATGATGGAATTTCATCAATTATTTATAACATACCGCAGCCATATGGATACAAATCGGCTCAATAACAAAATGAAAGAGGCATGAGGACTCAAGGGTGTCTAAATTATCCCTAAATTATTCAAATATAGTAATACAAGAATGTTTGACATATTTACGTTCTTGTTTGTGTTTTTATGTGCCTATGACATATAAGTAGATGGAGTAGGACAATGAAGTCGCCTTAACGACTTCATTTCAGGGCGTTCCGCAAAGCCGACGGTCACGCGTGGACTACTGACCTTCGGCAACGACTCGTGAGCGACGATACACCCTGCAGAGTTCATTCTTTGCGAACAATAATTCTCATTTTAATAATAAACAAATATCGATAACATAACGGAAAGAATACTCTGATGCGGGATATTAATTTTTCTCTATTTTTCTATTGATCCAATAATAAGTTTTCCGTGCAATCAATAATTAACTTTCAGCTGTATCAGCCGAAGAATCAATAAGCGTCTATTTAAAATTTGAAGCGTTGTGTCAATTGATACATCATTTAATCGCGAAAACATAATTTTACGTATAAAAGAAGTTGTTCACAAGTGTCACAAAGGTTTGGCGATCGTTCAACCGAGTCTGAAAGCGCCCCTCGAGCTCAGCATAACAAAACAAAATAGTCAATACAAAGTGCATCATAGTTTTCGTTGATTGAAAATCAAGGTCAACTTTACCGCCACGAAATGAAACCTCGTCTACATGTCAGAAGCAAGACAGCGGTTCACAGCGAGTCGGACATTCGGCCGTTTCAATGTACAACGACAAAACAAAATGGCAGTCTTACACCTGGCAATGTAACGACATTTCAATCTCTCGTGCATATCATAGAGCTTCTTTTCCTTGAGGATAAGGTCAATGGAGCTTCAACATGAGCTTTGGGTAATCAAACGTGTTATGCGAATATTCGAATTTCAACTAAAAATGTTAAAATAATTAAGCTATATATATTGTTATGCACCTAAGCGTTACTTAATTATTCACTAGGTTAGCATTCTTAGTACCACACGACAAGTAACCCTTTGTCAGCAAAGATTGTACTAAGGCGTTCAACTAAAGCGTGCTTGCATTATTTTCGACGCAACAAAGAGTCAGTCGTCGAACTGTAGGCTCCGAGTGAGCATCGTCCACTCGTAGAAAGAAAACTAGAATAAAACTGTGCCATTGCTAACGAAATTTGATGCCATAAAGAATAGTTTGCTTCTGTTATTTTAGTATTAATAAAAGTGTTGAAGATTATTTTACATCCTCACGGCATAACAATATATATACATATATATTTATATTTATATAGACTATATCTAATGAATAAATGAAATCATTGAAATAAAACATTACTAATAAAAATGGCAAAGAAAAAGAAAATGAAATATATAGTATTATACATATAAACTACCCGCCGTGTGCGTGAAACGTAATGGCCAAAAAATAGCCTAAAAGTTTGAGAGTCACTGTTACGAAATATCGTGATTAATGAGAAGACTCGGACTAGAAATTGAATATCGAGCCGGAGATTCGCCTAACGACATTGGTCAACCATGTCAATCGTGAAGGACGGAAGAGTCATGGAGCTACCACGTGACGATCAACCGATTCTCGCGTCGACGACGTCGTTATCCTCCAGTTATGATGGACAAACGATACGGGTTGGTATTTTGGTCTAATGAAATCCAGTTGGGCCAGTTAGAAAAAAGAATGTAAACAAATAAAAGAGGGTGACTGATCGGCGAAACCTCGTGTCGTAGGATCATCACGTGACCGTCGCAAAATTTCGGATCGTCGCGTCTTGCGTCTTGCGTCTTGCGTCACGGCAAACGGCAAACGGCAAACGGCAAACGGCAAACGGCAAACGGCGTGAAGTCAGTCTCGAGCGTTGGACGCGCTGACGGTTACCGCATTTAAGGCTTCCTTCTCTCAGCCGTAAAGTTCGTAATTCCATAAGACAGATGAGACTCTTTACGACCTTTACGTGTTCCTGAGAACGTTTCAAAATGTTTTAAAGAGACGAGAGGATTTGAAAAGGAAAATAGAACAAGTACTGTCGGCTTCAACGTTACATGGATGGATGATAGCTGGAACGTCAGATTAGGACAGTCGCATTTAAAATGAAAAATCCGAGCTTCACTCACAGACCTTAAAAATTAGAATGTTGGGAACAAATTTTGGTTCGTTGCGAAAAAATAAGGAAAAGAAAAAAAGTGAACTCAGTAAATTCCTTATCGAACCAGCAGCGATAACCGCGTCCATTGGAAGACCAATCCCGTTCACGCTAAATGACGTCACAAGGCATCGCGTGGGTCCGCTGGATGTAAAAGGTGTAAATTAATGAGTAAAGAACCTGGCTTGTTATTCTACAAGCGTACAATTTCTAAAGAAAATACCGGTTGTCAAAAAACGAAGACCAAGCCCGCAGAAGCTTTATTTGCTCTGTCCGAATGACTACCCCCCCCCCCCCCCCC